CAGTACGCACAATACTCTGGTATTAACCGGCGTATGTTTACAAATAGGTTAGGTGGAACGTCGCTTTTCAACTGCGCAAACGCGTTGTGCGATAGCGCTGTGGAAAAGAGATAGCAGAACGAGTAAACCTACTCCGATTAAAAAACCGAACGAACTTATTTGCCAACCCAATACATGATATTTCAGGCGTGAGCGGTGTAACTGTAAATACACAAAATCTGTTGAAAAGGGAAGTTTTTAAATTATTTTTTAACGAAGAACTAGTTAGAAAAATAATTTCGGAAATAAATAAATATGGAGCAACTAACGCAGATTTGGTACCAGTTACAGACGATGAACTAAAAATATTTATTGCTTTAAACATTTTAATGAGTTCCTGAGCCCACTATTCAGAATTATTGAACCAAAGATAAAAGCATAGAAACACCATATTTTAAGAATGTTATACCCCGTAACCGATTTATCTCTATCGCTACAAATTTATATTTTTCCAGTAATGATATTTCCAACGACCCATTAATAAAAATTCGAGAAGTTTCTGAAATAATAAGAAAGAATTTCATTCGCATGTATGTACCAAATAAAAATATATCGATTGATGAATCACTAATGAAATAGAGTTTACATTATATATAATTTATCAGAACTAAACGAGCGAGATTTGATATTAAGTTTTATAAACTGTGTGATTCTAAAACGAGATACATACACAATTTTAAAATATATGTAGGAAAAGATAAAACTAATACTGGATCTGCTAGCAGAAATGTTATGATAAATTTGTTAAAAGAGAGTAGACTACTGTACAAAGGATATAGTTTATTGATAATTGGTACAGTTTACCGACTTTATATCAGGAATTATATAATATGCAAACAAACGTATGTGGAACAGCGAAAATGAATAGGAAAGAAATGCCTCGGGAGAAGCTGTTGTATTTTCTACAACAGATATGGCAGCCATAAAGTGAAGAGATAAAAAAGATGTTGTTTTATTAACAACTATGCATAACTTAGATTTTGCCGAAACGGAGAAAACAAACCAATATACCGGACAAAAAAATGTTAAACCAACAGTAGTAATAGATTACAATAAGAATATGGGTGGAGTTGATGTTGGTGACTAAACGTTAAGCAAATTTCACACTATGCGAAGATGTAAAAAAGCCTATAAAAAAATATATTTTTACTTCATAGACATGATGTTACTAAACAGTTACATAATTTTCAAAAACAATAAAAAAGACCGAGTTTTTCAGTAAGAGAGGCATCATCTATCAATGATTCGTTAACGCGATATATTGACCGGCATTTTCCTATACAGATACCTCCAACATTAGCATTAGCAAAGGGGAACAAAACATCATAGTGTTGCGTTGTATACTTATCTATGTTATTTCGAAAAGAAACAGTTTTTAAATGCAATGTTTGCGATATAGCATTATGTATCGATCATTTTAAAAAATAACATGTTAACCCTTTGCGCTCGAGGCCTTTTTTGCTCGAGCGAACTAGCAACTCGAGAGGAGTTAGCTGCTCCCGCTTATTTCATGAGTTTTTTACAGTTAACTTAAAATGATAAGACATCTCTGTAGCTATTACCTCATAAGATTACACACAAAAGGTTAGGAGTAGACTTGTGAAGCGATATTCGTTAGGCCAAATCTTAATAAACACCGTTATCGCTCAATTTGCCGCCTCGATTCGAGTGATGCCTGAGAGGCACCGCTCGAGTTGTCGCATCATATCCAGTGGTGCCTGAGAAGCACCTCTCGAGCGCAAAGGGTTAAATAAACTCTATGAACTATTCGGAAGTCATTTACTGTAGAAGTTAACTGTGTGCTAAAAAACGAGTGTACTGTTAGAAGTTAACGAAAATAATAAAACTGCCGATATACGGCCGCGCGCGGTGATACGGGCCAACCGTCAGTTGAACGCCGCTGATGTCTGAGCACAAAACTTAAGTAGAGTCATGATGCAAATGGGTTAAGTCGAAGTGTGTATCCGATAAGGAATGTTACATCGACCAAAACAAGTGATAGTTTGAAGACGCTACGTCTAGCGAATACGCTGCGTGAGGAAGAATTGCCCAGACCAAGTTTAAAATGGTTTCTTTCGTGATTTCTGCTGTGTGAGACTTAGCGTTGTCATGGAGCAAGATGATCTTATGACCGCTTTGTTTAAATAGCCGTTTTTCCTCAATTGCATCGCTCAAACAGATTAATTGTTGTTGATAGAGCTCTGTTTTAATTGTTTGGTTCGAGGAGCTCATAGTACAGCATACCTTTCTAGCCCCACCATATGCAAAGAACCTTCTTGCAGAAGAATTTAGGTTTTGCTGTTGATATAGTCGGTTAACCAAAATCCACCCATGATTTTTCGCATTTAGGATTATTGTACATAATCCATTTTTCATCGCCAGTTACAATTTTATGCAAAAAATTCTTTTTTCATACTCTGACGAGCAAAAAAATGCACGTGGTTAACCGATGATTTTTATTGTATTCCTCTTTGTGAATTTTTCCCAGCTGGTGCAATCGAACCAAAAGCGTTAGTTGCGTCACTCCAAGCAACTCAGCAAATTCTTTTTATATTTGAGTCGGGTTTTCATCGAGTAATGCTTGTAGCTTATCATTTTCAAATTTGCAAAGCTGCCCAAAACGTGGTTGATCGTTGACACTGAAATCACCTTCTCGACAACGACTAAATCATTTTCTGCACGTTCTTTCATTCACTGCACCTTCTTCGTAAACGGAACAAATCGTTCTGGCTGCCTCAGAAGTGTTTTTATTGAAATTAAATATAAAACGCCTACAGTGTCGAATATCGTAGGTCACGATGTTAACTACTGATTTTTAAGAGTATGTTGCTTCAATGTCAAACTATTGGGTTGTCCGAAAAGTAATTGCCGATGGCTCCAATAGATGGCTTTAAGCGTCTGTT